CTCTCCCCCTCTCCCCCTCTCCATCCTCACAGTGCTGCCTTTTTGCCCACTCCATTTCACTAGATGGAGTCTTCACCTTCAATCTCATTGCCCTCCATCCCATCCCCTACTACCCTGAACAGACTATTTACTCACTTTGCTTAAAAGCTGACTTGTCATAGATGTCTCCTCACAATCTGCTTCCCAAGCCTTATTCTCCTGCCCTGCTAAGATACTTCATTTAGGCATACACCACTTTTTAAGAGGTCAGAAACGTTTTGGGAACATAAAATATACATATCCTTGCTCCCTGAAGTGCACTTCTAAGGACCTGCTGGCCTAAGGATCCACATCACCCAGGATCTTATTAAAAACCTAGAATCTCAGGTCCCACCCCAGACTTACTGTATCAGAATCTTCATTTTAACAAGCTCTCCAGGTGATTTATGTGCACATTAAAGTTTGAGAAGCACTAACTTAAAAAATAACAAGTGAATTATAAATTCACTTATAAATTAACAAATGAACAAATCAGACCTAAGGGGAAATCTGATGACACCAAAGCTTAAGTGATATTGATAAATGCATGAGGTCAGGTGGTCTATACTTAATTGTGGGGGGGGAGGTATACTGATTTTGAAGAAGCCAAACAGGACAACCAGATCAAGTGGAGGTTTTTAGTGTATATAGGTACTAGACTTAGTACTTACTCTCTCATCACCTCTCCTGCCTCCTTTCACATCACTGTGTCTGCATCAAAAAATATTCTAAGGCCAGACTCGGATCTTCCTTTCCAGGTCTAGAGACCAAGCCCCTCCCCACCGGCCTCCTTCCCTTCCTGTTTCCTGAGGTTAGTTAGGTGTGACAGAGAGATAAAAAAGCAGGCTTCTCCTGCCCCTCAACCTGTATTCATCCTTTAATAAGGTATCACTTCTTCCGGAAAGCCCACCGCCCTTCCTGCCCTTCCCCTTCTAGCTGTGCACCAGGCCATATAGGCACTTTCCATCCTGTACTGTCATTGATTAATGGGAGGCAGTACACAGCTGTGTTAAAGGACACAGGCTCTGGAATCAAATACACTCAGGTCTAAATCCCAGCTCCCCCTCCTACAAGATACGTGACTTTGAACCAGTTACTTAACCCCCCATGGGCTTTAGTTTTCTCACCTGTAAAATGTGGCTAATGATAGTGATTTACTCTCCGAAATTGTTGAGGAATGCATGAATTAATACATGGCAGTGATATGTGCCATACCTTAGTTGTCCCCAAGCGCCCATCTGTGAACAGTGAATAAATAATAAAAAGCTGAGTGGCTGCAGCACTCAAGAGGCCGGCTGGCCAACGTTGAGCCAAAAGGAACTCCAGGTCCGTGCGGGCCCGAGACTCCTTCCAGCTTTTGCGGAGCCAGGGGCCTGCTCCCTCGCGGATAGGGCGGGACCTTTGGGTTGAGTGACTGCGGGTGGCCCGCCCCGGGCGTGACGTAGTCCTGGTGGTGTTGCTGCGGCCGCACGTGGTCGACCAAGTACGCCTCAGACTTTGCTGCGCTCCGGGTCCTGAGTACCAGCCCAGCCGTTTGCCTTCCTACTCGTCCTGTTCGCTATGTCCACATCCACGAGCTGCCCGATTCCCGGGGGCAGAGATCGGCTGCCCGACTGCTACAGCACCACGCCGGGGGGCACGCTATACGCCACTACCCCGGGAGGTCAGCGGGCCGGGCTGGGGTCCACAGGCAGCGGGCAAGCCAGCGCGTGCGTGCTGTCCTAGGGTACGGGTGGGGAGGTGTGGGCCTTGGACTCGTCCACAGGCCCCTCTACAGGTTGTAGCTTGGGGTGGGGGCAGCGAGAACCGAAGCCTAGTTTCCGGGCTGATTCTGGGCCGAAATCCTCACTGGTCTGGGCTCTGGGCACCTTGTTCACCCGCCTCTGCCAACTTTACAGCCTGGGAATAGGAGCTGAGGCTCCAACTGACCGTGGCCTCAACCGGGAGCATCAAGTCTTGCAAAGCAGCTAGAGCAAGCGGAGCAGTTGGGGGCAGGGGCTTTGGGTATCTGTGGCTGGCTGGTTGGGCGAGGAACCTGGGATCATGAGCTGCTGGGCTCCTGACTAGGGTACCTTCTGCCACGTTGGGGCCGAGGGGAGGGCCGAGAACAAGGGCAGGGCCTTTGAGGACATGCTCTGTGCCAAGTTCCTTTAGGTGGGGCTGAGCCTGATAGGACTTGGGAGGGGTCAGGATAAGAACATTATGTCCCTGTTTCATGGGGAACACAGCTCCTCCCTGCAGGGTATCTGAGCACTGGTGGCAGCACTGGGTGAACCGCCTTCACATCTGCTATTTGGCTTCCTGATCCAACTGAGGCTGGAGGTCTAGGCCCGATCTTGTGAACCATAGCAGTGAAGTCGCAAAGCTGGAGAGGAGCAGCCTGAAGTACCTGAGCTCCAAGTTCAGTGCTCCTTCTAGAGCCAAGACTTGAAGCTCCCCTAAACCAAAAGCTCCTGCGTGGACCAGCTGGGATGTCCCCATTGCTTAGCCACATCTTGGTTAGGCCTGGAAACCTTAGTGCTGTGAAAGCTAGTCAGCCGAGATCCTGGCTTGGCTGCAGAGCAATAGCCCTTTAAAACAGGGAAATGTGACCCCTAAGACCCTAAAAAGCCTGTATCTGGGGCCCCAGATAGCTCTTTACCCAAGCTCCTGCCACTTACTTAGCCCCTACCCTTGACAGGCACCAGGATCATCTACGACCGAAAGTTCCTGCTGGAGTGCAAGAACTCACCCATTGCCCGGACACCCCCCTGCTGCCTCCCTCAGATTCCCGGGGTCACAACCCCTCCAACAGCCCCCCCCTCCAAGCTGGAGGAGCTGAAGGAGCAGAAGGAGACAGAGGAAGAGACACCTGGTAAGGAAAGCAGGACCCAAAATTAAGAAATGTCTTTGAGTCTAAATGCCCTGGATAAGTAGAGTGGGGGCTCAATTCCAGAGGGTTTCTACACTGAGGCTGACCCTCAGCCCAGCAACCAGTCCTCCTGCCTTTTCTCTCTCCAGATGACGCACAATTTGAAATGGACATCTAATCCAGTGCAGATGACCCGTGTGTGGAGTTAGAGGAATCCCTCATGCCGCTGCTGCCACCACCTCTGCCGGGGTATCCAAAGGCCAGCTGGCCTCGTCTAATCTGGAAGGAGTGACTTGGTTCTGGGCCTCCCTTAGCTCTGAGGCAGCTAGACCAGGGATAGGAGTGGGCAATTTGCCAAGCCCTTAGCTCTACTTTCTCTGGTCTGTAGGCACTCCTCTCAACCTCCAGCCCTTTATGCTCAGAGGCTGAGGCAGGGCCTGGGGGGTGGAGTGGGTCACTTTCTGACTGCTTAGTAAACATTCAAAGAAATGCCTTGGCTCCAGTGTTCTCAATGCTGATCTTTCCATCTCAGCCACACAGCTAAGGACCCCAGCAGACCTGGTTAGGACCAGAGGTCACAGGTCCCTTCCCAGCTCTGGTTGGTCCCACTTCCAGTACAAATTAGAGCCAGTGGCTGGCTGTGGAGGCAGGCTACAGGAGCCACCAAACCATAAACAGCAGTAGCCTGTTCCAGCTTTTCCAGGAAGCAGCCTTCCTGGAATCAGGCCCCTCCAATAATCCCTATCCTAAAGCAGGATAAAAGAGGCACTGTCCCAGCCTCTTAGCCTTCTCCCTCCAATCTCTTCCCATGCCTTTTTTGCCTCCCACCTATAAGTACCAGTCCCCTTATTCCAACACTGAAAACCAGTACCAGCCCTTCTCACAGGCCCTTTCCACCTGGCTCTGTTGTCCTCAAAGGGTTGGAAGAGACCTTAAAGCCCAAATTGAGGGCCAGAATGAGGCAGCAGCTTATTTAGTAAGTCGGAGTCATAATCATGCCCCCCACAAAGGAAAAAAAAAGGTCACGATCCCATATCTCAACAGTCTGGTCTTTTTCTCCTTCAATTTATACAGCTGTGTTCTAATCTCTGATTCTAATCTCCATAGCACTTGCATACCTCAAGGGTGATAAAGTGCAAATAGAGCTGACTCTTTTTCTTGATGGAAAATTCTCCCCATGCTATTTGAACCTCTGTTCTCATGCTGAAATGAAATCATCCAAAGATAGGGCTACTCAGCCCAGCAAGGGATGTGCATTTAGGTCTAATTTAGAGGAACGTGGCAGGCAGTCATCTGGTCATTCCTAGCAAGGCCATTCATGATGAATGGAGGAAAAACAAAGGTTTTTAGGGTACAAAGAGAGCAGGGCAGTCAAGGACACCAGAAGGAATCAGTATGCATAGGGAGGCCTCACCTACCCAGGGCCCACCAATGAGATATTTTTATTGAAATGCATGTTATAGATAACAAGTGACGACCTTGTGACCCAGGTGGGACCTCTTCCTCTAGAGGTGAGTCAGGCCAGGGACCCCAACAGGGCAGAGTTTCCAAAGTGGTAAGAGGGAGCGAAGTGAAAGAAGGCCTCCCATGCCAAGGCATAGCAGATGGTGTGAGGTGAGTCTGGGACCCCACAGGGTTATGGAGCCTGTTGGACGTCTGGTACAGTCTGATTCTCCTCAGCTGTGGCTGTACATGTCTCTTCATTGGCCTCCTCTGAAGACAGACTCTTCTTTTCTGCAATTAATCTTTTAACTCCCACCATCCACTGACTGACTTCAGTCACGTGGTCAACCATGAGCGAGCGGTGGATGTCATCCGCTGCGTCCCACTGGTGGCTTGAAAGCTCTGAGGAGAGAGAGACTGAGAAAGCAGTCCGGGGCAAAACACATAGCTCCCAGTCCTCTCCTCCCAACCAGTCAAAATCTCAGCACCGATTCCAGCTCAGCCAGCCATGCCAGCATGAGGGACTTAGTTATAACAAGGGACCCACCCATACCTAGCACCAGCAGAGCCATCCTCTTCTTTACAGGTGTTGACAGCTTCCCTCCAGCCCACTGTTCCTGCAGCAGAACCAGGCGTCGGCTGATGTCATCACATACTTGCTTCTGAGAGAGAGAAAGTCCCTCCAAGTCAGTGCTATCAGCCCAGCAAGGGCAGGGGAAACCTGCTTTCTCTGGCCCAGGAACTTTACACTTAAGAGTTCTAGTTCTTCACCCAAAGGTTCGAGGCTCCACTGAGAATCTGATGAAACCTATGGATCTCTTCCCAAGAAAAATGCATGTAAGGCTAGAAGTTTTTAATTTCCAGAGTTTCTCAGACCCCCAGAAACTCACTCTATAGTGCTACTTTACAAATAAGGAAACTAATGACCAAAGAGGTGAAAATTACTATACTACTTTCCTTTAAGATTCCTCAGTTCCCTTGCCTCCAGAGAACTTAAGAAACACAATAGGAAGAGGGGGCTTCCCTCTCTCTCCTTGAGCACAAAATCAGCAGAGTCTGCTCTAGATGGCCTAGAGGTATGAAAATCAGGCTGTTACCATCACTTATAGGAGTTGAAGTAAGCCTCCTACTGACTGGTCTGCAGAAATTCCTTGAATTCTCCTCAAATCCTGTGCTCATTTTTCCGGGAAGTCCTTAGATTCCAAAAAGGCCCGTCAATCAGGGTCAGAGGGTCTACCTTTGGGAGCCATACAGGCATCTGGCTGTTGATAGGAACCCTTCCCATCACCCCACTGCTGTGCCCGGGCTTGCCTTTGTGTGGCCACGGCAATCCTCCAATGCCTGTTCCAAAGGTCTCAGCACGTTTTCCAGCAGAGTCTCACACTCAGTAACTGGCAACTTGGTTGGCTCCACACTGGAGGCAGGACAACTCCCCACAGGTGGAGGCCTGGAAGCCTTACTTGAAGGAGGTGGAGGCCCCATTGTGGGGGCCCCAGGAGAAGTCTCTGAGGTGGGGACTGAAAAGGTAAAGCAGGATCAAGCAAACATAGCTGAAATAGGTAAGAAACTCAACTCTTAACTTCATGCGTTCTAAGGAGGGCTACTCAGTAAGACAACTCAGTCATTCAGAAAAGGACATTCATGAAGACTCTACTGTGTGCCAATGTGCAAGGCACCAGAGATAGAGTAAACCAGACAGATCAGGTTTCTGACCAGAGAGCTTAAATTCAGGGGTGGTGGGGGTGGGGGGACAAGAAAATTACCAATTATGTTGCATGCTACAAAGAGATAAAATGAAGTGATAAAGAGGAATACAGGGTACCTGGACTGTTCAAGGAACGCCTTCTGAGGTGACATCTAAGTTTATCCCAGCCCACCCACTATGTGACGTTTGGCAAGTTACTTTTAACCTCTGAGCATGGGTTCCTCTTCTGTAAAATGGGGATATTATGGTAATAAGCACTTACTTTTCAGGGTTGTAATGATGATTATAGGTGCAGCTGCTAGACTAGGGTGTAACAAAAAGTGCTCACAAAGTTAAGAACTGATAGGTGAAGCCACGAAGAACTGAAGGAACCGTGTACTAGGTCTAGGTAAGGGCAGTGCCCAAGAGGCAGGAAAAGTCACGATGTTGACTCTGTATGCTATGTGAAAAACTGACAAAGAGAGGCTAAGAATGGAGGCAGGGACATCAGATGGGAGGTTAACGGAGTAGCCCTGGAAAGAGGGTGCTGGCATGGATTTGAGTGAAAGACTAGATGAGGGGAAAATCAAGTGGTCTGAGATTTAGGAGGAGGTAGCAACAGGATTGGTGGATTGGGGGTGAGGGAGAGGAGTCGAGGATGACTCTTGGTTTCTAACTTTAGTAATGGGATGGTGGAACCACTACAGGAAAAGAAGGCTGGAGGGAAAAGGTCAAGAATTTACTCTTAGGCATCACTATGGATAATTAATTCATCTAATAATTTGGCCTCTTGGTTTCCTGACCTCCTCACTTCCAATGACCATTTTCCACCCATTTTTTCAGCCTCTCATTCCCCTCTGTCATGTTCTCAACACTGTACCATCTCCAAATATGCCCTCCACTCCTACCCTTCCAGCTAGCTCCTCGGATTTCACCGTGCATTAAAATCACTCCCTTATAAACACTTACCTCACTTATCCCCTCCCACTGTCCCACTTTCCTGGTAAACCCAGCTTGCCTGCACTTGTTGGGGAGAAAAATAGAACCATGCTGAGGAGTAAATTCATGGCTACAGATTTTAAAAGGTATCCAACACTGCCTGGAAATCCAACCCTTTGCCTTGTTTTTCCACTCTTCAGAACAACTATTGACACATCTTATTTCCTCTAAACTTTCTACCTTCTTTTCCTTTCCCTGCTGTCTCTACTTCTAACCCTGCCTCATATTTCACTGAGAAAGTAGAAGTCATTAAACAGTAAGTCTTATCTTCTCACTACCAGTTATACTAACCCACCCGCATCAGTGGCCACTTTCTTCCTCCTCTAATAGATGAAAGGTTCCTGCTATCAGGCCAACTCTCCAGCTGAACTCTGCACCCCAGCCTCTTGCCTTCTCTAGGCTTTCGTCCTGCAATTATCCCTTTTCTCCTGCCATCAGTTCTCACAACTTAACCATCCCATCTGCAACACACTCGATCTAGTGAATACTATCTTAAAAACAAAACCCCTCCCTTTCCTCACATTCCCACTTCAGGTAACCCCCCCTCCCCCATTTCTCATCTGCTTCACAGCAGAATTTCTTAAATGAGCTGTCTATGTATGTAGTTACTTCTCTCCATCTTTTCACATTCTTTCCTGAACCCATTCCAGCTGAGTTTGTGCTCTCATCACTCCACAGACTGCTTTTAGGGTCATCAGCAATTGCTATGTATGTCAAAACTTTTATCTTTCTTGATCTCCTAGCAGCATTACCATATTCATCAATTCCTACCACCTCTAATATTCCCATCCTTGTCCAAATCATCATTAAATCTTGCCTGTGTTACCATAAAAGCCTCTGAATTTGACTTTCCACTAATTCCCCTAAAATCTTCCACACACCAGATAGTGATATTTTTTTAAATGTAAATCAGTATTTCTCAATCTGGGAATATTTTGCCTCCAGGGCAAATGTCTGAAGACACCTTTAGCTATTCCAACTGGATGGGTGCTACTGGCATCTAGTGGGTAGAGGCCAGGGATGCTGCAAATATCCTAGTGTGCAGGACAGTCCCTCATGACAGAATTATCTGGCCCAAACTGTCAATAGTGTCAAGGTTAAGAAACTAGCTTGTATCATTCCTCTGCAGTGCTACCATGTGGAGAATAGAGGGGTGCTAAAAGAGCTGAATCAGCCTCTTTCTCAGGGTCACAGCCCCACCTATTGGCATGGGAAATGCTCAAGGGCAAAGACAGCCCTCTATTTTAAACTTTTCAGTGGCTTCCAACTTTCCATAGATTGAAACAAAACCCAGTATGATCTGGCCCCTGCCTACTACTCTCTATCCCTAGCCCACTGTGCTCTAGCCACCAGGTATTCCTTCAGTCTCTGAATTTGCCCAACTTGTTCACAGGGCCTTTGTACTATTTCCAATGCCTGGGACGTTCTAGCACCTGATCTCTGTGTAGACAGCTTTTAATCATCATTTGGATTTCAGCTTAAATGTCCAAATTGTCGGGCTGACATAGGTACTTGGTCACTCCCACATCACGTTTTATTTCTCCGCAGAGCCCTCACCACTATTTCATTTGTCTATCTCCAAAGCTAGAGTGTGGACTCCATGAAAGCAAAAACCTTTTTGTCTTATTCACTGCTGTCTACTTCGCCCTCAAACACTGCCTGGCTCATAGTTGGTGCTGAGTAGATGATAATGAATGAGTGAATGGATAACACCGTTAAGTATGAGATGTTTATTATATAGCCAACTGACAGTGTAGAACAAATGGATATACCACTATGGTGTTATGGGTACAAATCCAGGTTGGAAATAAAATTTGAAAATAATTTGTAAAAACTACATTAAAACCATAGGTCTGGATGAGATCACTTTGGATAAATGCATAGAGAGGTTCTTTTGAAACCAAAGTACCATTTATTGACGTGGGCAGAAGAGCTTCGAAAGGGCCTGTTCTGAGGCCCTTTCTGGGACTCCAACCTCTCAGGGGCGCAAAGGGCCCTCGGGACAAGCTAATCCTGGCACGGCCCATCCTCGGCCGCTCTCCGTACCCAGGGGCCCCACGCACCTCTGGGGGCTCCATCCGGGAGTGCGGCGACCCTCTTGGTGAGCGGAGTGCGCTTGGGTCCGCCGGCCTGGGTCTGCAGCCCGTAGGAAAACTGCGGCGGGTCGTTCCAGCCGCGCTCCTTGTTGCCTGCAGAGGGGAGGGTATGTGTGAAGGGAGCCCGGGGTAGATGGAGGGTCCTGACTCCGCCTGGTCACCGCCCCCAGCCCGGGCAGGGTGGAGAACCCAGCGCCCGTAGAGCGCTACCGCGCTCACCCGGCTTCACATACAGCTCCGCCATCTCCACTTCCGCACAGCCAGCGAGGCAGCGCGTCACTTCCGGGGCGGCCGCATACCGTAGCTGGTTGGGGGCGCCCTGCCCCGGCTGGTTACTCGGATCCCTCCTGTTTGGAAGGTCCAGAAACGCCGAGAGCCGAAGCCGGGACCCTGCACCCGCTCCCTAAGGTATTCGAAATCTCCAGCTAAAAATGCATCAGGACCCTGATCACAAGGCACCAATGGGGCTGTCTTCCAGGACGCGGCGCTCTAGGAGCCCTAGTCCCCTCTGCCCACTCTTTCCACTTTTCAGTTGCTCTCAGGAGCAACTTGAAACCACCAGCCGCTCCTGCCCTACATATGCTCCTTTGTGATCTAGCCAGGGGGGCCTCTAGGACCTCTCCTCTGACCATTGCCCGGCGCATTTATACTCGCCAGGCTTGATAACTGGTACAGAATTCCTTCAGTACTCAGATGTCAGCTCTTCAGGAAGCCTAGCACTGCTTCACGTCAGGTTATGTCTCATCTGAGCTCCCACCCCTCTTGAGATTTACTAGTACTACATATTATCTTCTATCCTGTTTATTTGACCTTGTATGTATCCCTTTCAGACAGGTGAAAACCCTATTTTAATTACATCCCCAGTGCCTAGCTAGTACCTGGCACAGAGAAAACCTTAGAAAATGTATTTGTTGAATGAAGTCAGACTTCCATCAGGCAGCCACCAACACCAAGCACTGACACACTCACTTCATACAGGTTGTTAATCCCCCAACCCTGTCCCAGGCCCAATATACTCACATCCAGTGAGGTCACTGAGGGATTTTTATTTGTATTGATTTTGCTATAAAGTGTTGCTGAGGTAGAGCCAACTGTCCAGGGCTGGACAGGGGCAAGGAATACAGGAGAGATCCAGGGGAAAGACAGCCAGGGGCCTAGGTTGTGGTGTAGGGCCTCTCAGTCATCCATATAAACAATTAATAAATTGGGCAATAAATAGAGAGTGCACAAGGTCAGAGGGGCAGGCAGAGAAGGGGGAGGGGAGGCGGTGAGAGGTTGCAGGCCCCTGGAGAATGAAGGGGTACAGAGCTGGGCATGGACCCAAAGCCTCCTCCAGTCCTCCCAGGTCAATTTAGGGCATGTGGAGCAGAGAGGGTTTCAGCCGGAAGGCATCAAGAAAAGAGAAGATGCTCCGCTTTCGAGGGGCTGCCCCTGCACCCCCAACCCCTCCTTTCAGCAAGGGGAGAGGCAGGGGACCTCCAGGGGAGTCCACGGAGCTGGTCCGCTTGAGCCGCAGGCGGGCACGGGCCTGGGCACCCCATGCCTTGCCTCGAGCTGCAGAGGCCACAAGACACTTCTGGTACTGAACCTAGGGAGAAGGGGAACGTGAGAGTCCAGCTCCTCTCTGCCCCTGGACTCCCTGAAAGCTCCTGCAGGCCAAGGCTTCCGTCTCATATAAGGCTTGTAGTCCGCCACATATGGAGCCCCTACAGCATTTTCAGGTAGCTCAATAACAAAAACATAGAACTCGACATTTACTGAGCATTAAGGAGGGCTGGACACTGTGCTAAATGCTTTGTATAATGTAACATAATGAGATCAGGTGTTATTGTCCCCATTTTGCAAAAGAGGAAATTGCAATTTAGAAAGAATACATGACTTGCTCAAGGTCACTTAGCCAGAAAATGGTAGAACTGGAATTCAAACCTAATTCTGAGTGCAGAACTTTTGCTCTGAAACCACACCTACCGCTATGTTGACTCGCCTCCGTCTCTCATTGGAGTGGACTGGCCCCTGGCATAGTGGATTCCCTAGTAAAAGGAAGGGTCTACAACCCAAGCCCCTCTCCCTATGCAACTGACCCAATTTCCTCTCATTTGAACTCAACAGGGTTCTAAATGGTATTCCTACTTATGTCTCCCAAATCTTTTACCTATACTATAGCTTAAGTGGTCTTCCTGATCCATAAACCTGACTTCACTGTCCTGCTCAAAACCTTTCAATGGCTCAGTGTGCCTCGGGATAAAATCAACTCATCACCCTGACCTATAAGTTCTTCCATGACCTGGTTTCTGCCATCTCTCACTCCCTCCCCACCTTGCACTCCAGATTCTTTCAGATACTCTAATCCACTAACACCTCTCTTACCTTCACAGCTGGGGTTTCCTGTACTTGGCACACCTTCTGACCTACTCTCTTCACCTCACTAACCTCTCCTTTCTAACCTCTTCTTCCAATCTGTTTCTATCACCTCTTTCAGTAGCCTTCTCGAACCCCTGAAGGGGCCATCTCCTCCATCATCCTGTGGTGTACCACTTCCTTCTGGTCTGTCTCTGCTCTAACCTAAGGCTGTGCCCTTAAACCACTGAATTCCCAGGGTCATGTCCAGTGCCTGGTACCCTGCGGATATTCATATTTGTTGAATGAATAATGAAGAGTGCGAGGGTCCAATACTCAAATGCCCACAGATATCAGGAAATAACCTAAATGAGACAAAAAGGAAAGACAATGTCCGCCCTACAGGGCACAGCCCCTACATAATTCCAGCTGAATGTTGAAATTTATGCATGTGGACCCAGTGTCAGAGATTCTGATATTTTAAGAAAAACAGGAATAACAATTGTGTGAAATGTCCTGGCTTTTAAATAGGCAACTCATTAAGGCTTATTGAAAACAGCACGAGGGCCAAATAAAATGCCAGTGAACTATACTCAGCCCTGGGCTCACTGGTTTGTGATTTCTGGAGAGGTTGCCAATCCTGAGCCCCAGTCACCAGCACAAAGCAAATTGCAGGGCAACCCCACCCACCATTCCCACCCCAACTCACCATGCAAGCAGCCTGCACAGCTTCAGAGAGTCCCCCTGCATGGGGCTGGCACCAGAAAGCCGCACACTGGAAGCTCTGACGGCCCAGGTCAGCAATGAGGCCAAAGGTGTGTGGGTCGCGGCCAACACCGATAAAGGTCACGAGGCGCACAGGGCACTGCCACAGTGGCTCCTCCTCCGCACCGGCCTCTGCCTGCCCACACCAGGCCTAGTCAACAGAGGGCCAGGCACTGGCTGGACCCACTGCCCTCCTCCAACAGCACGCAATGACCCCCAGCATCTCTGCCCACCCCTCGACAGCCCCCAACTTCACCTCCTGGTACCTGAATGGGATGTGCAGTCATGAGAGAGTCAGACACACTGAGCATGGCAGGGACCCAGGCATCCCGGTCTCCCCGGGTGGTGAGGATACCAATGGCCTCGTTCAGCACATCCATGCCTATGGGGTATATACACATCATGGTATCTCCCAGACATAAAGAAGGAGGGATCTGCAGGGAGTGTCTAGGCCCCTCTCACTGATGGGATTCAAAGAGATGGGAAGAGAATACAGGGCTGGGCTTAGAATCCTGGGTTGGAAAGGGTGGTATATCCCAGGCTGTACAGGACCATGGAAGCACACTGAGAAATAGTGGTAGATCCCACCTCACCTACCTTCCCCTTGCCTTATGCAGCCTGCCACCCCCTCCAGCCCGCTCAGTCCTCACCCATGGCTTTGGTGACTGGCAGGGTCCCCATATACAGTGCCTCGTACTTCTGAGCAGCCTGGCTCACCGCATCCAGCAGCTCCGCTGAAAATACATACCAAGCTGGCCTAAGCGCTCTCTCAATGACCCCTTTCCCCACCCTTCTGAGAGCTGGAGCTAGCAGAAGAGGAAAGACCACAGATGTGCCTCCAATTCAGAGCTTGGGATCCCTGGGACCAGGACACATCAGAAGTCCTGTACCTCCAGGGAAGTACTAAATAACCAGGACCCCCTCCCCATATTTCACCAAAACAGCCTGTGGCTGCAATGCAGCACTTCCCCCTCTCCCCCCATACCTTGCCGTGGCAGGTCATCAGGGGAGATGGGATCTAGAGAAGAACAAGGGGAATCACCACTGACCCTTACTCGCTCTGACAAGATCTGAAAAACAATGCAGCTAGCTTGAGGTGCAGGCAGAGAAGAATGGAGGTAAGGGAGCCAATGCCACCCTGCCCCAAACACCTTGGCAGCGTCAGACTCAGCTCCATCCCACATTCTCTACCCCACTCCTGGCTCTTACCTGGGCACAGAGCCCGTGGAGGGCACTGGCAATAGCTTTGGCAGGGACGTCACAGCGAAACACATGGCACTTGAGCATACAGCTGTCTTTGTCACCCGCCACAAAAGCGAAGTCCCTGGCAGGGCAGAGATGGGGCTGGGGTAGGGGCTGGGTAGAGGCTGGGTAGGGGCTGGGTAGGGGCAGGAGCCTGCAGTGTCTGCAGGAGGCTACAGAGTCATGCAAGGGATGTGGCAGGGACAGACAGGGAGGTCAGGGCCGGGACTGAAGGCACCTGGCTGTCACTCACCTGTCACTGTTCCGGAAGCATGTGGGAGCACAGGAGAGAATCAGCCCAGCCTCTCAGGCTCTCCCCCATCCGTCCCTGCTGAGCTGGGCCCACCCTCCCCAAGCAAGGCTGGACCAGGCAGGGGAGGCAGAGCTTGGGTCCATGTCAGAGGATCTGTGTTCAGGGGTTCAAGTACAGGGGATCAGCATCAGTGGGGAGCACAGCTTGCAGGGGGAAGAAGGAGCAACTTCCACTTGGGGGGATGTAGAGGTCCTCACCGGCCCTTGGAGCTGCCCACACCCCATACACGGATGTGCACCAGAGGCTGGCAGTGGATCAGACTATGGTCCAGGGGATTCACCAGGCTCATGGCATCCTTCTTCAGGATCATCAGCATGTTTTGGCCCTGCCAAGGACAGAGGGCAGCCCTGAGCTCAGAGGAAGGTGGTTGCCATGGGAAATAGACAATTCAAGGACAACTACCTCCACTTTCAACCTGGGCTGAACCCCTTGAAGGGCTGGCCAGCTCACCTCGCCCCAGGCACCATCTGAGGGTTGGCTCCGGCTGCGGGTCTGGGCCAGCTGCTGAATGCAGTTATTTACTGCAATGCTGCTCTTCCCTGGTACCAGGTCCTCTTCGGGTACCTCTACCCAGCCCAGAGAGCGGACTGCAAAGCACTGATGGGTTGGGAGAAAGGACAGGACGGTCCTGAGTGAGTAGAGGTGGAGTAGGGTGGGAGATGCCACAGGCTCCACACACATAAACCCTTTGATACCCCCTCCCTTCACCCTTGATCATCTCTGCTCAGCCCAATCCCACCCCTGACCTTACCCTTGGACCCTCCCCAATGCTGAGTGAGAGGGTAGAGATGCTCCACTACCTTAGCCCCTGGCTCCATGTTCTGGATGTAGGATTCCTCACCATACCAGGACAAAGAGTTACTGGAACAGAGCAGAGCTGGTAAGGGGACCACACTTCCTACAGAAGGGACATTGGTGAAGCCCGGACTATTTAATGGGCACAAGATGTGGGATAAGACCCAGAATATAGTGTCCCAAATATAAAACCAGAGCAGGACAGGGAACAGAACATATTAAATAAATGTGACATAAAGAGTATGACTTAGAATTTGAGAAGACAGGACATATAATAAAAGTTGCAAACATGGAGCGGGGTCGAAAATGTGAACCACAGCCCCAAATCGGGACAAGAGACCCTAGAACACAGGACGGGAATCTCCATGGACAGAGCCCAGGATAGTGGCCAATGTCTGGAACATGATGTCAGGACCCAGAATATGGAAAATAACGTGGCAAAAGGCAGAGTTTGAAACAAGGAACAAAACTCAAAATGCTGAGAGTCAAGCAGATGGGACAGAGCCAAGAATAAAGGACGGAGTCCAGAACCTGGGCTGGAGAGCAGACTGTAGGTCCAGCTGCATCTTTGAGTGCCATGGAACCCCAAGCCTTTCATTTTTCTTGGTCTATTCCTGTTACCTCCGATCCAGTGAGCTCTCCAGGCTGGAGAAGGATCTCCCTTTGGGGGGCCGAAGTCCCCAAATCCCTTCTGTCCTCTGTAGAGAGGGGGCTAGGTCAGTGTAGCAGCAGGCCTAGGTCCACACATGGGCTCAGGCCCCATCCTCACACTCCACCTACCGTGCCTGGGTCCTCTGCATCTCCTGGCTCCCAGGTTGGGCGCTGCCACTGGGTGCTACCGCTGGGTACGTGCCAATAGTAAGTACCTGCAGCGTCGTGGATCTTCCTCCAGCCAGGGGGCAGGCCCGGCTCCCCCTCCAGACTCTGGTCCCCCCACAAGTCATCTACAGGAACACAGAATAGGAAGGGGGTACACGGGATTGGAGAGGGAAGGCATATTTGTAGGTTCAGAATAACTCCCTGTCAACCCTTATGCTAGAGGTCCAAGCTGACGGTCACGCTCCCATATTGCAGCGCAAAGATCAGGGTTTATTTGTGCCCTGGTTCGCACCCAGAGACTTCCCCCCATCCCTGTCTTTGAGCCTCGGGGTAGCCTTTCGCGCTCCCTCATTCCCTTTCAGCTCCCAGTCCTCCCTTCGGGCCCCTGCGTGCACACCATCGCAGTTGACCAGAATGATGGCCAGCATGTAATCCTTGCCCAGCATAGCCCCAGCCGTGTCCCCGCCGGCCTCCGCCGGCCTGCACTCTCAGTCCAGCTCGACCTGCGGAGCTGCTGCGCCTACAAGCCCAGCCTCTCTGCGCCGGAGTCAGCCGGGCCAGCAGGCGCCGCACAAATACGAAGCGGGGCAGCGGCCGAGTCCCGGAGTTGAAAAAGGACGGGCCTAAGCAGCACCGCCCTCCCAGGGGTGGCGCGTGTAAACAGGCGTCTGGATCTCTGAGTGGGCGCGCGAGTCCGTGCGTGGGTCGCGGGGAGGAGCAACGCCCGCAGCAAACCACTGACACTACCGCGCAAGTATGAGCTCATCAAGCGGCGGATGACCAGCCAGGCGAATGACCCGCCAGGCGAACGTGCGCGCGCAGACGCGCACGAATGAGGTCATCGCGCCCAGGTCGTATGCGCGCGCGCACACGCAGCCTCGGACTCGCCGGGAGGGGTCACGTGGGGGTATCTGCGGGCAAGAGACCGCCTGGGCACCGCTGCAACTAAAACGCCGCCACCCTGTACAAAAATGCTCCGGAAGTGTCTCCGCCCGTAGTAATGATGGCTGTAGTAATTGGCATGAGGGAGGCGGGGCTGCGCGTGCGCAACAAGTTCGGCGAGGAAAATGGCGGATGACAAGGTGAGTGACCGTGGGGGTGATCTGCAGTCAGGGTGGTGTTCACATGTTTTTAGTCCTGAGGAGACACGACACTGGAGCGGCTCATGGATGGGGGTGCCCCTTGTTTCCTTTGGGAGGCGAACTTTTGCGCCTGTCGGCTGGGTGCTACCACTGGGTACGTGCCAGTAGTAAGTACCTCCACAAGGGGAACAGAGCGGTGGAGCGCTACGCTAGGCAGGCGAAGCCGGGGACTCCCCCAGTCTTGCCCTCCCGGTGACCATCACGATCCATAGTTCCTCGCACACGTTCAGACCCTTTCACTCTGACACACTCCTCACTCTGCTCCATTCCCTAGCCCCCGAAATTTCTTTTCCCAGAGACACGGTGTTTCCAGTCTACACTGCCACACCCTCATTCAAACACTTCCTTGCGCACACACTGAATTTCATCCCTAAGCGATCAAAATCACTCAGTTCATTTACCCACACTCCTAGACAGCCGCCATTCCCCGTACCCCTGACTCCCCTCGCGTGCATACAGTTTCACATTCAGTTTGGGGTGACCTTAGGGGAAGAAGCCGATGCAGAAACACCCCCCCCCGCAATTGTCCAGAGAACTGCCTCAGGCCATTACTCACCGTTGGTCTGGAAGTTCAGCACCACTCACACATTTACTCATTACTTGCCAGTCCCTGAATTAGACCGTGGGATTCAGTAGACACGACAGACTGGTCTCCACTTCCAGGTAGCTTGTAGTCGAGTGCTTCCCTGATAGATCTTATTGAAGATCCCTTAGCTGTGTGTGCCTCCTGACTTCCCTACACACTGCTTACTAGATAAAAGTCCTATAAGGGTTGTTGTAAGTTACTGGTGCACATCCCACCCGTCATCCCCTCCCTGGCCCCCATGTGAATTCTGTCTGTTTCAATGCCTTTCTTCCTTTACCACTGCCATCTCAGGAAAGTATTATAGGAAGAGGTTTCTCAGGCTCACCCCAGCCCCAACCCCCAGCCTCTGATAGATTTGAGCAGGGGATGGGGTGGAGTCAGTCTGTTGAAGCCAGCCTCCCTTGCCCTAGGATTCTCTGCCCAAGCTTAAGGACCTGGCGTTTCTCAAGAACCAGCTGGAGCACCTGCAGCAGCGTGTAGAAGACGAAGTCAACAGTGGTGTGGGCCAGGTAAAGTTGCACCTGCCCCTCACCCCTCTTAGGCTTCATTGCCCAATAAGCTGAATGAAATGGGTGGTCAAGATTTATTCAGGAAATGGTTATTGAGGGCCTGTTCTCTGTGACCTCAAGGAAAGTTTCCCAGACAAAATGACACTTGAACTAGGATCTTAAGTAGGGATTAACTAGGTGAAGAGGGGAGGTGGGAACATCCAGGCAGATGGAACAACATATGCAAAGCCCTTGTGGGAAGTAGCATGATGAATATTGGGGGTGGAAGGAGTTCAGTTTGACTGCAGTAATGGGAGAGTATGCTAGGAAATGAGGCTGGAGAAGCAGGCAGGGGTCAGGTTTCCCAGAGACATCTCTGTGGCTTTGTGGAAGTAGGGTTCTATGTTTGGAGCTTTCTAACCCCAGGGTTCTGAGATTGTGTGATCAGGAATCCTAGGTTCTTTTTCTGCCTCCAGAACCTTGAGAAAATCTTTGGAGAGAATACTACTGCTCTCCAGAATAAGGAGGAGCAGGTGGGGGGATGCTCTAAGCCCAGCTTGAGTAGCTCCTGGTTAGAGAAAGAGCCTGCTGAGTTTGCTCCTGATCTTCCTCCACAGGATGGCTCGCTCTTGTCCTCCCCATTCCTCAAGGGCTTCCTGGCTGGTTATGTGGTGGCCAAACTGAGGGCATCAGCAGTATTGGGTTTTGCTGTGGGCACGTGCACGGGCATCTACGCAGCTCAGGCCTATGCTGTGCCCAATGTGGAGAAGACATTGAGGGACTATCTGCGGTCACTGCGCAAGGGGCCGGACTAGCTCTGGATGCCATGGGGGAGGCAGGATGAGCAGCTGGGGCCTGCAGGTGGAGGCCTTTCGACAACAGACACCGTTTTTGGCTTCCCCAGCTGTCACCCATTTGCTGTCTCCAACATTCCTGCCACCTTCGTCCTTGCTTCCTTCCTGCAGAGGGTGGACAGTGGCTCGTCGGCCAGCACCCTGGACTCCTTCCCTCCCTAATTCCATGGGACTGGCCCCAAGACAGTGTCTTCTCGGGTCCCCAGCCCCTTTCCAGCCCTGACTGTGATCTTCAGTGTTCTTTCTGATGATGTACCACAGCTCCTCCCTCCTGGGAGCCGGCTCCATAACTTGATTTCCCCCAAAAGTGTCACAATCTTTGCTGCCCCTTGCTAGCTACTCAGGCCACCCAGGGTCTGGTGTGGGCATGAGTGTAGAGGATGGGGGTGCGCCAGGCCTGGGCCGTCCCAGGCAGGCCCGCTGGACCCTGATGCTACTCCTTTCCACAGCCATGTATGGCGCCCATGCCCCGTTGCTGGCACTGTGCCATGTAGATGGCCAAGTGCCCTTCCGACCCTCCTCGGCTGTGTTGTTGACTGAGCTGACCAAGCTGCTGTTATGCGCCTTCTCCCTCCTGATGGGCTGGCAGTCATGGCCCCGGGGGGCCCCACCCTGGCGCCAGGCTGCCCCCTTCGCATTGTCAGCCCTGCTCTATGGCGCTAACAACAACCTGGTGATCTATCTTCAACGTTACATGGACCCCAGCACCTACCAGGTGCTGAGCAATCTCAAGATTGGAAGCACGGCCCTGTTCTACTGCCTCTGCCTCCGGCACCGCCTCTCTGCACGCCAGGGCTTAGCACTGCTGCTGCTGATGGCAGCGGGGGCCTGCTATGCAGCTGGTGGCCTCCAGGACCCTGGGAACACCCTTCCTGGGCCCCCTCAAGCAGCTGCAGCCAACCCCATGCCCCTGCATATCACTCCACTAGGACTGCTGCTCCTCCTCCTGTACTGCCTCATCTCAGGCTTGTCGTCCGTGTACACAGAGCTGCTCCTGAAGCGACAGCGTCTGCCCCTGGCACTTCAGAACCTCTTCCTCTACACTTTTGGTGTGCTCCTGAACTTGGGTCTGCATGCAAGTGGTGGCCCCGGCCCAGGCCTCCTGGAAGGTTTCTCAGGATGGGCGGCACTCGTGGTGCTGAGCCAGGCACTGAATGGACTGCTCATGTCAGCTGTCATGAAGCACGGCAGCAGCATCACACGGCTCTTTGTGGTGTCCTGCTCACTCGTGGTCAACGCCGTGCTCTCAGCAGCCCTGCTGCGGCTGCAGCTCACAGCTGCCTTCTTCCTGGCCACGCTGCTCATTGGCCTGGCTGTGCGTCTGTACTATGGCAGCCACTAGCTCCTGACCACCTCCACCCTGATTCCTGACCCCGTAGATTGGCCACCACAATCAGAGCCACCTCCTAGCCCCACCCCACCCCACCTCAGCAGCCCTGTAACAAGTGCCTTGTGAGAAAAGCTGAGGAACTGAGAGCAGCCAGGTGAGTCTCTGGAGGCAGGTGAATGAAGGCGTACCCCAGGGAGATGTGTAGAGTGGGTTTGGTTAAGGAAACTCTTAACCCGCCCCCAAGTCCTTCCAGACTAAGGAATTGGGGGAGCATCAATACCTAAGCCTGAAAAATGACCCCATCCCTGATGGAAGAGGCCCCCTGCCTCACCTTGCATGAATGCAGTTGCTTAAAGTGGGGCGTGGGCAACAGTTGGTTTTCCTTGCTTACTGTGGTCACTCCAACAGACCCACTGCCTGCAGTCCTGCTGCTGGCTGCCTCAGTTCAGCCATGGTGCATGACTCCCCCATAAAGGATACTCGCCACCCTCTAGAGAAAAGCCCAATTGCCACAGATTCCACG